GCACACACGCGCGCGCGCGCACGCACATTAGGTGATGCCCTAGAAGGGTTCACAGGACTCAGAAGCAGTTAGCCTGTTGGATATGGTTTATTTCCATCATCAGTTAGAGACAACACCCTTGAGGCAGAGCCTGGAAGAATTCACTGCAGGCTTCCTATGTTCTCCTGCCAGGAGGGGCTGCACAGAACTTGCTCCCTTTTTCCATCGAAATGCAGCAGTACGTGGGCAGTAGTTCTGCCCACCAGAGCCTGCTTGGGATGAAGAGTCCAGGTTTGTAATGGGGTGTTTTACTAAATGCACAGGTACTTCCTACCTGCATGATCGATTAGAATGCCAGCCTCTCGGAAGGCATTCACCATAAATCACATTGCCGTACAGACAGTTCGGTCAGGCTGGCACAGCAGAATTCAGGGCCCCAAGCAGACAGAACAACCGAATCATTTTGTACCATAAGGAATCATAGCCAGGTTCCCAGAGACTAGTCAAGAGACAATCCTGCAAGCAGAACTAACTGGAGAGCAACATCAGGCCTGCTATGGTAACTCTTTTCCTACACACCTGCAAAACCGGAAATAGTTGCTATTTGGCCTTTTCTATAAAGAGTTTGCTGAACCCTGAGCTGGAGAACTCTCAGATGCCTGTGAGGGGATAGTTGATGGGTTTTGATCTTCACCTGACCCGCCACTCCATCCATGTTGCTATCTGCCTTTGCTGCCACCAGCCTGGCCCAGGCCCACCATCTCCCATTTGATAACTATAACAGTGTCCTAACTGGTCTTCCAAAAATGACCTTTGAGCCCTTTGAGCCCTCTAGGTTACTCCCCACCAAGCAGCAAGGTGATTTTTTTGAAATATAAACCTGATGAGCACCTCTTTGCTGAAATCCCTTCCAGGGATTCCTGGGGTCTTTGGAATAAGATCCAAATGGTGAGGCCTCCAAGGTCCTTCATGAGCTGCCTTCTTGCTACATTGTACCCTGTCACTGTCCCTCTCTTCATTCCAGATATTAGCCTCCTTTCTTTCTCAGGACCTTTGCACATACTGTTTCCCTTCTGGGAATACTCCCTTTTTCTTCCTCAGGCCTTCTCTCCCTACCTTGTCTGAGTAACATCCACTTATTCTTTAGGACTCAGTTTAAACATCAGTTGGTCAGGCAAATCTTTTCTAGTTGCCCACCATGCATGCATCCCCCAGTATTCTGTACTTAATTTCCAAAGCACTTATGACATTTGCAGTGAAATATTTATATATATTAATATATATGTATGTATTACATGTGTGACTTATTTTTCTAATGTGCATTCATTTGCTCTGCAGACATTTTCTGAGTACCTAGTCTGTATTAAAGGTTAGCGTAGGTATTGGGCATATAGCAGTAAACGGTCGACAAAACAGTGATTCCTGTCCCATGGGGTTTACATTTTAGTTGGGGAAGAAGACAGTAAACAAAATCAAATAGTGAAGCATGCAATCCATTAGGTGGTGACCAGGACCATGTAGACAAAGTATGGCAGCGGGAGAAAGAGTGCCATGGGGAGCGGACTGCAATTTCCATCAGGATGGCCAAGGAGGCCTCGCTGAGAAGGTAGCTTAGTAGCAGGGTCTGTATCTGCTTTGCCCACCACTGTGTCCTCAGTCCCTGGCTAGTTTAATGTCTGGTGCATAGTAGGTGTTCAATAAATGTTTGCTGAATGAATATAAGAACTAGAGCTATTTTGATTTTTGAAGAAAGTTTCTGTTGCTTTAGCAAAATGTCTAAAAACCTCCAACTCGCCAGATATGTGCACTGTACTAATTTTTGATTCTCTATCAGTGATGACCAGGAAATGTGTGTATATGTGTGTATGTCTGTGTTTCTCTTCCTGTGTGTGTGTATCTCCAAAAGCAGCAGTGATAGCTGATTATCTGGGGCAGAGATAAGGGTAGTTGACTCCAAAGGGAAAGGAAAACAAGGCTCCATGTAGCTGGTGTTTTTTGGAAGTGTCGGTGTGTTGCAGGAAGGGCTGAGCAGCCTTGAACCTGCTCTGAATTTGCTCCGTGTTGGCGGGGTATACAGTCATGTTGATTCCAAGGAGGGGTCTTGACGGCTCCTCAAACTTCGTTGGCTGGGGCATCACACAAAGTTTGTCTCAGTGTGCTGATGAGGGAAGGTGGCCTGTGAACAGGTCATTAGTATCGCAGGACCCCAGCTAGAGTGTCCACTTGACAGACAGAGAGAGATCCAGGTCAGAGAGGCTGACCTCCTTGCTTGTGGCCACACAGCAACTTAGCAACCCAATTAGACCTTAGGGTTCCTGGGTTCTGTATGAGAGAATTCCCAAATAAAGGGAAGTGAGACTTAAGAAAACAACAGATTCCACACCACCCAGTTCCAATGGTTCCCATCTGTGCGCACCCCACATCATGAGAAGCAGGAGGACATAGGTTTCAATTCCTGCTCTCCCATTACTGGTGGTGTGGCCTCAAGCAAGGCTCCTCCCCTCTCTGGGGCCAAGTCCCTGTTTCCCTAGAATGAGGACCACAGGTTGTTTTTGCCGGCCCCATCAGATGGCTGTGATGGTCAAGTATGAGGACCCAGTTGATAGAGGAATTTCTTTTTCCTTTTATAGTTATATATTTATCTTAATGTGCACTAGAAAAAAAAACCCAGGACATCAATCATGTCAAAACCATGACTTCATAGTTATTATTGTTTGGGATGCAGCCAAGGGCTGGAGAAACATTCTGGGTGTTAGGACTTCAGGTAGCCCATGTGGTCCGCCTCAAGGCAACTGAGGCACGGCTCTCAAAGTTAGAGAAAGGTCAGGAGAGCTGCCGGCTAGAAGTACTTTATCAGGAGGTCAGTAACAGGCTCGGTCTTATGTCTCTTACTAGTGCTTTCCTTTTAGCAAGTCCACATTTGCTTTTCCTCAATAATCCTGACTGAGTCTCCCATTTGCCCCTAAATTGCACTAGGGAGGAAAGTCTGCAGGAAGTTTCACTAGGCCTGCTTGTTTGGCTGCTCTGGGGGTATAAACACCCCGCTTTCTTAGGGATTGACTTAGAAATTGCTGTGTTCAGGCCTCCTTCAGCTAAGAGGGACTAAAGGGC